GAGAAAGGGAAGGAAAGAGAGAGAAAGGGAAGGAAAGAGAGAGAAAGGGAAGGAAAGAGAGAGAAAGGGAAGGAAAGAGAGAGAAAGGGAAGGAAAGAGAGAGAAAGGGAAGGAAAGAGAGAGAAAGGGAAGGAAAGAGAGAGAAAGGGAAGGAAAGAGAGAGAAAGGGAAGGAAAGAGAGAGAAAGGGAAGGAAAGAGAGAGAAAGGGAAGGAAAGAGAGAAAGGGGAAGGAAAGAGAGAGAAAGGGGAAGGAAAGAGAGAGAAAGGGGAAGGAAAGAGAGAGAAAGGGGAAGGAAAGAGAGAGAAAGGGGAAGGAAAAAGAGAGAAAGGGGAAGGAAAGAGAGAGAAAGGGGAAGGAAAGAGAGAGAAAGGGGAAGGAAAAAGAGAGAAAGGGAAGGAAAGAGAGAGAAGGGGAAGGAAAGAGAGAGAAAGGGAAGGAAAGAGAGAGAAAGGGAAGGAAAGAGAGAGAAAGGAAGGAAGGAAAGAGAGAGAAAAGGGAAGGAAAGAGAGAGAAAGGGAAGGAAAGAGAGAGAAAGGGAAGGAAAGAGAGAGAAAGGGAAGGAAAGAGAGAGAAAGGGAAGGAAAGAGAGAGAAAGGGAAGAAAAGAGAGAGAAAGGGAAGAAAAGAGAGAGAAAGGGAAGAAAAGAGAGAGAAAGGGAAGGAAAGAGAGAGTGAGAGAAAGAGAAAGAGAGAGTGAGAGAAAGAGAAAGAGAGTGAGAGAAAGAGAAAGAGAGAGTGAGAGAAAGAGAAAGAGAGTGAGAGAAAGAGAAAGAGAGAGAGAAGAGAGTATAGAAGAGAGAGAGAAGAGAGAAGAGAAGAGAGAGAGAAAAAAGGGAAAATGAGAAAGGAGAAAGGAGGAGGAAGAGAAAGAGAAAGAGAAAGAAAAAGAAAGAAAAATGTCTCCATCCGACCCGCCCCCCCCCCCACAACACCCCCCCAACCTGAGAAAACATTTTCATCATCAACGGTTCTCTTATTTTATCTTGATCATTATTCTGTCACTCTAAAATAACCCTGAGTATATAAAGATGTCATTACTTTTTTTTTTTTTTTTTTTTTTTTTTTTTTTTTTTTTTTTTTTTTTTTTTTTACTTTGACCTCCTTTTCAACCCTTTTCTTTTTTTATGTATCGTCCTTTCCCATCTCCTATCTCCTGCATTCCCTTTATTTATTTCTTTATCCACATACTCCTCTTTCGTGTTTCGTGCTCTTGCATTTTCCCACTTCCTCCTCTTTCGTTCTCCTGCATTCTTCATTTCCTACTTCTTTCTCATTGTCTTGCATTCTCCACTACCTCCTCCTCCTCTTCAATGCTTTTTTTTCCTCCTTCTTCTTCTTCTCCTCCTCCTCCTCCTCCTCCTCAATACTTTTCTTTCCTCCTCCTCCTCCCCCTCAATTCTTTTCTTTCCTTCTCCTCCTCCTCAATTCTTTTCTTTCCTTCTCCTCCTCCTCAATTCTTTTCTTTCCTTCTCCTCCTCCTCCTCCTCCTCAATTCTTTTCTTTCCTTCTCCTCCTCAATTCTTTTCTTTATTTCTCCCCTTCATCCCAAATTCCTCCTCCTCCTCCTAAACGCATTTTTCCCTCCTCCTCCTCCCCCTCAATTCTTTTCTTTCCTCCTCCTCCACCTCAATTCTTTCCTTTCCTCTACCTCCTCCTCCTCCTCCTCCCGCCACCTCTATTCCCAACCCCTCCGCATGACATTTGCCTGTCATTGTCATGTGCCTTATGTCTATATGTCCCTAATTGTCAATCTTCCCCTACCTACCGCAACCTACCTTTCCTTACGTCCCCAATATTCCAAACGCTGCATAACGACACCCCCCCCCCCCCCGCTTACTTTATGTACGGAAGCTTCCCCTTTCCCACCCGAGACTACCCTAACCGAACCCAAACCAATTTGCCTAAACCCCTTTACCTTATCTCAACTTTATCCTAATATTACCCCAACCTTACCCCAACCTCACCCCCAACCCTACCTCAACCTCACCCCCAACCCTACCTCAACCTCACCCCCAACCCTACCTCAACCTCACCCCCAACCCTACCTCAACCTCACCCCCAACCCTACCTCAACCTCACCCCCAACCCTACCCAAACATTACCCCCAACTTTACCCAAACATTACCCCCAACTTTACCCAAACATTACCCCCAACTTTACCCAAACATTACCCCCAACTTTACCCAAACATTACCCCCAACTTTACCCAAACATTACCCCCAACTTTACTCAAACATTACCCCCAACTTTACCCAAACATTACCCCCAACTTTACCCAAACATTACCCCCAACTTTACCCAAACATTACCCCCAACTTTACCCAAACATTACCCCCAACTTTACCCAAACATTACCCCCAACTTTACCCAAACACCCGCCTCCTTACCTTGATGCCTCGGCGGCAGAGCCTCCCTCTCCCTGCCCATCTCGACAACGGGGCATCCTTCCTGCAGCATCCTTGCAGACGAATCTCAACCCGGGAGCGAGCGAGCAAGCAACACACGCACACGGTAAGAAGGCACTCGGGGGAAAACGAGTGAAATCCGTCGTGCGCAAGTGTGTGTGTGTGTGTGTGTGTGTGTGTGTGTGTGTGTGTGTGTGTGTGTGTGTGTGTGTGTGTGTGTGTGTGTGTGTGTGTGTGTGTGTGTGTAGAAGAGAGAAAAAGAGGGGGGCATCTGTGCTTGTTTGCACGTGTGTATTAATGTGGTTGTTTGTTTGTTTGTTTTGAAGGGAGGGAGTGGCGACGTTGGCAGCCGCGAGCGCACGAGCGCGCACACGGAGAATTCCGACTTATCTTATGCAAACACAAAGGGAATAGAAAGGAAGAAGGAAGAAGGGGAATAGGAAAAAAAATTGGGAGAGGAGAAATTGGAAAAAAGAGGAGGAAGAGGCGGGAAGAGGAACAGGAAGAGGAGGAATCAGAACAGAAAAGGAGGAGAAAGAAGAGAAAGGGAAGGAATACGAAGAAAGTGAGAAAGACAGGAGGTTGAAAAGGAAGAACTCTATAAACACAAAGACGGTACATGTGCATACACATACAAACAAATCTAAATAACGGTAAACACACAAGCAAACAAGCACGAACTTGTAAATAAACAATTTCTCCCCCACTATTTACGACAACACACAACAGGAGAAAACGCACGTGCGCCTTTGTTTACAATCCGAAGCATGGAGAATAGCGGCCAGAAGCTCACCTTCGTTAAAATCATTATATTCCCTAAAATAAACAAATAAATAGATAAATAGATAGATAAATAAATAAAATAAAATTAAAATATGGTGATATTTCTGGCCGTATTATAATATCATAAGGACTAAGCAAGAGATGGTAAAGGGGTAAGATGAACGCAGGTATACGTGAAGAGATATATATCCCTGAAGAAATAGTTCTGTATACACGTTCTTTATTCATGCCCGCACTTATGATACACAAAAAGGTAGGCATGAAACCCAGACCCTAACTCACACTCACACTCACACTCACGCTCACACTCACACGTACACACACAAACACAAACATTTAAAAGTTGGCAACATAATAAAGACCGAATGACCTTTTGAGAACGAGTGTAAATGGACAAGTATGTACGCTTGTCAGTAAGTAGATAAAAAATAAAACAGGATATATATATAAAAGCAACGTGAGTTAAATGCGACTCAACTACCAAAGAGGTTTAAGAGCAACTGACTTAAACAATCTGGCTATAATATATAATATCTATCTGGCTATATTATATATTATCTATCTATCTATCTATCGCTAATAAAAGCCAGAGGAAAAAAAACTACACAACAGACTAAGAGACAAATTGGAAACTATCAATGCAACACAACTTTTTATTGAAATGCAATAACAGAGCTCACAATCATAGCATTAATAGAGCAAAATGATGATTGATAATGATGATACTAACTGCAATGACAGTGATAATGATCGGCAATGAATAATCAAGTTAACAATAATAGATGATAATACTAAGCTCAATAATAACGAAACAAATAATAATGGTGATAACGAGACTAATTTTAATCACGATAATGATGCTATTGCCAATAATAAGATAATAATATTATAACCACGTTACAATCACTATTACTACAAAAAACAACAACAGAACTAACGGTATTGTAACATCAAGTAAACGTTAACAATGATAATGGATAATAACAGAAACAATCCTTATTGCGATAATCATAATAAGAATAATGATAACAATAAGAATAACAATAATAATAACGACAACGATAATAAAAATAAAGATGATAATAATAACCAATAATAACAGCGATAACAATATAACACCTGTAAATACAAGAATAATAACCCAAAAAGTAATGAAAACAACAAATGACAAATTTAGCCTCGCCCAACAACAATAATAACAACACCTGTGCAAGAACATTTTGGTCGTAGTCCAAGTGGGAGGGGAAGGGGGGGGGGGGTTAAGGGGTGAGGGGGGGTGAGTGCCACAGTGGCCCTGCGTGTGACATAACCCACGTGTTGTCCTGGCACTCTGACGTTGCCCCTTTTCACTACGCATCTTCGATATCCGTATTGTTTTTTTGTTGTTACTTCTGTCTTTCCTTCTTTTTCTTGTCTTGTACTTTCTTTCTCTTTCTTTCTTTCGTTCTTTCTTCTCCTTTCTCTCATATACTGAGAGAGAGAATGTGTAAGTATATAAACTGAAAAGGGCAGGTGGGAGGGAGGAGGAGGGGAGGGAAAGGGAGAGAGAGAGAACAAAAACTACGAAAAACAACATCCCTCATTGCATTTGTCCTCCAACTCCATCCCAGCTCACCCTTCCTTCCCCTACCAATCCCCTCTCCCCACCCCCCTGCCCCTTCCTCTCATCCTTTACCCCTTTCCATTTCTCTCCCCTTCCCTCTTTCCTCCCTCCCCTCCCCCTTCCTCCCTCCCCAACCTCTTCCCCCTTTCTTCCCTCCTCATCCCCTTCCCCCCCTCTCCCCTCTTCCCATTAGCACAATAAAGAGGGGTCATGCACCCTGGTCATGAGACGTTGCATCCTCTGGGTGTGCGTGTCGGCCAGCGCGTCCACAGTGCCACAGTTCTGGCACCAAGGTCTGACACCAGGCTCTGCTGCCTACGAACTCCTCTACGACTAACGGTGCCGAGACTTTCTTTAACTTCCCTGATAAATAAAAATCTATTTCATCGTTCCGAATAGTGACTTTTGAATTTTGAGTGTGAATTTTTGGCTATCGGTGTGTATTTTGTAATTATTTATTCATATCTTTTGTATTTTCCATCTCAGCTTTTTCTTTCCTGAGGTTTAAATGCAAGCTATCTATTTTTTTTTATATTTTATCACCTTACTATTCTCAAACTTTCCTCAATCTTTTCAACAAATCTTTTCCTGGTCGTTTTATTGCTATTTTTATATTATCCCATTTTATTTTCAATTATCTTTACTGCCATTCTTATTTTCTTCAAGTTTCGATATCTCAGCCTCCCTTTCTTCTCTCTTATCATATTCATGTTTCAATATTTTATTTATAAATGCTGATAATTCTTTCCTACATACCTCGCCAGATTACATTCTTTTTTTAAAAGCACTAAAATCATCACTATTCACTGATCCCCGAACCTAATCTAGAACATGTAAAATAACTTAAAATAATTTAAAATAATTTTCTTACCTATAGTTTAACTAAATCGCATATGTCCCTATCACTTTAACACCGCAATTTCCCCCTCAACTTAACACCGCTAACTTAACACGCCATTCCCACCACCACCTCAATCCGCCCGTTGTTACATCATCATTGTTTTGAGCTAATGTTCCTGCGCATAAAGGGCCATTGGCGTGCGGGCGAATGGACACTTTCATCTCTATGCATAAGGGACGGAGTGTGTGGATGCACTTGAATACATCCAGGTAAGGTTACAGGTTTGCATATACACATACGTGTCACTATTGACACACATTCTCGCACCCCGCTTACATCGTCCGCCCGCTCGCCCCCCCCCCTTCCCTCCCCCCTCCCTCCCTCCGTCCCTCCGTCCCTCTCTCTCTCTCTCTTTACTCATTAGCCTGAAGCCACACTTGCTTAGCGCCCGTGGCATCCAGGGCACCACAGTGAGACAATGAGTGCCACATTGGTGCCACATGGTTAAGTAAGGCAGAAGGAGGGGACAGGGGAGAGGGAAGGGAAGGGAAGGGAAGGGAAGGGAAGGCAAGGAATTAAAGAGAAGAGTAAGGGAGGGGAGGGGAATGGAAGGGGAAGGGATGGGGAGGGAATGGATAGGGAAGGAAAGAGATGGGGGAAGGGAAAGAGAGAGTAGAGGAGGGAGGGGAGGGGAGGGGAAAGGAAGAGGAGGGGAAAGAAAAGAAAGAGAAGAGATGAGGAGAGAGGGAGAGGGAGAAGAGGGGAAAGGAAGAAAAGGAAGGGAAGGGGAGAGTTTGAAAGGGGAGAAAGTGAAGAAAGGGATATAGAAGCAGAATAAGGAGAAACAAAAATAGGGAGGAGATGGAAGACAAAATAATGTTGTAAATTGGGGAAAATATGCAGGAGGAACAGCAGACCGGAAAAAAAAATAAAAACAAAGGAATAGAACCAACAAGAAAACCAAAATAAATAAAAGGAAGAAGAAGAAGCAGAAGAAGAAGAAGCAGAAGAAGAAGAAGCAGAAGAAGAAGAAGCAGTAGAAGAAGCAGCAGCAGAAGAAGCAGCAGCAGAAGCAGCAGCAGAAGCAGCAGAAGCAGAAGAATGAGGAACAGAAGAAGAAGGAAGGAAAAGGAAAAGAACCTCCACATCTCATTACAAAATTACCGCATGATTCAGCGAGCCCCAGGGACGTACCCACAGACCTTTTCACTCTCCTCGCTCGGTCGCAACGTGCAAGCATTCACGCACACGCACACGCACGCAAGCAGGCGAGTGGCACACATGCACTCGGGCGGCGACGGACACTGCGCAGATTACGTATTGTTTGGTGATTTTTTCTTCTTCTAGATGTCTTCGCCTTTATGTTTATGTTTACGTTTATGTTTGTTTTGGTGGCATCTACGGGAAGGAGGAGGAGGAGGAGGATGAGAAGGATGAGGAGGAGGAGGAGGAGGAGGAAGGGGACGAGGGGGAGAGAGGGATAGAGAAAGAAAAAGAGGGAGGGAGGGAGGGAGGGAGGGAGGGGGAGGGAGAGGGGGGGAGGGAGAGGGAGGGAGAGGGGGGGAGGGAGAGGGAGGGAGAGGGGGGGGAGGGAGAGGGAGGGAGAGGGGGGGGAGGGAGAGGGAGGGAGAGGGAGAGAGACGGAAAAAAAAACGTAAAAAGATAACGAATACACCATTAAAAAAATCACCCCCGCCACCATGTTCCCATCATCACCATTACTAGCAATAACAAAACCAATAAATACACCAACAAAACAACAACAACAACAACAACAGACACGCCCCATAGAGACAGACAACGTTCAAACGGAAGAGAATCCTTTATCTTATCCAAAGGGAAAGTTTACACATGGCACAGATGTCCTTCATTGTTCTCATGATGATTAAATACAAGGCTCAAAAACAATAAGATTTCTTTGTTCTTCTTTTGACATAACGAAATAAGTTAATTCCGCTGAAAAAAAGAGTTGCTTCTTCTTTCGAGAAAACGTAATAAATTATATTTAAAAAATAGGATTTTATGTTCTTTGGACAAAATTAAGTCAATCGATTCCACCCCCAAAAAATAAGTTGGAAAAATATATATATTCTTTTATAAACCAATTCCGGTTAAATCTTTTTTATAATCAACCTTTTCTGAATGTCCTGATATTTCACATCCTGGATTCATTTTCATTTGATTAAACCTTTCTCGCGACTTTTATTGCGCTTTAGCGTCTCTTGCAACTATGAACTGAACCTAAAATCAAAATAGTCATTCTTAAAGAGAGAAAAAAAATCAAAATCAAAAAGCAAACGTACGTATCCTGTGCATGGTACAAATTTATCACAGCATCAATTTATCAATTTATCCTGACACCGATTTATTAATTTCAACCATTGACAACCTTGCTCCCCCTGCTATAGAATGCCTCACAAAACACGCTGTGCATGAACATTGCAGACTAAATGATACTATTGCATGACATCGATTCACCTCCCTTGTGCCTATTTACAAATTTAGTATCTCCTGCGTAAGAAATAAATGCAGACTGTGTTGCAGTTCGTTTTATAGACTCTTAGTTGGCTGTCGATTTATTTTATTTCATCTAGTTAAATGCCTTTTTGAAAATCGTCGGGTGAAAATGTCTTGGACGGTGTTGATGGGTATTTCATGAATGTCACCGCGTGTTTACAAATGGTGCCGGCAATGATCATCTTAATCTGTTTGGATATCGTTTGGGTGTAGACTCACGTAAGAAGGTCATGGCTGCTTACACACACGTACACAAACACGTAGCACAAATAGTCTCTCAGGCGCGCGCACACACACACGCACGCTCTACCTCTCTCTTTCTTTCTCTTTCTCTCTCCCTCTCTCTCCCTCCCTCTCCCCCTCTCCCCCTTTCCCCCTTTCCTCCCTCCTCCCTCCCTCTCTCTCTCTCTCTCTCTCTCTCAAACACACACACACACACACACGCACGCATGCACGCACGCACACAATGAGGCGGTGTTGTGATTCTTGTGTTTAAATAACTCCAACCTCGTGGCGCGGAGTTCGCTGCCAGGGACTGCTCTCACTACAAACACGTCGGTGAAGGGGAGGAAGGAAGGGGAGTGGGGACGGAGTGGGGAAATGGGGGAGGGGAAGTGGGGGGAGGGGAAGTGGGGGAGGGAGTGGGGGGAGGGGAAGTGGGGGAGGGAGTGGGGGGAGGGGAAGTGGGAGAGTAGCGGGGGAGGGGGGAGGGGAAGTGGAGTGGAGTGGCAGTGGGGGAATCGGGAAGGGGAAGGGAGGGGGAGGAGAGTGGAGAATTAAGGAGAATGGGAAAGAGGACGTAGAGGAGACAGGGGAAGATGGGAGGTGGAAGGGAGGGGGAGGGGGAGGTGGAAGGGAGGGGGAGGAGAGTGGAGAATTAAGGAGAATGGGAAAGAGGACGTAGAGGAGACAGGGGAAGATGGGAGGTGGAAGGGAGGGGGAGGAGAGTGGAGAATTAAGGAGAATGGGAAAGAGGACGTAGAGGAGACAGGGGAAGATGGGAGGTGGAAGGGAGGGGGAGGAGAGTGGAGAATTAAGGAGAATGGGAAAGAGGACGTAGAGGAGACAGGGGAAGATGGGAGGTGGAAGGGAGGGGGAGGAGAGTGGAGAATTAAGGAGAATGGGAAAGAGGACGTAGAGGAGACAGGGGAAGATGGGAGGTGGAAGGGAGGGGGAGGAGAGTGGAGAATTAAGGAGAATGGGAAAGAGGACGTAGAGGAGACAGGGGAAGATGGGAGGTGGAAGGGAGGGGGAGGAGAGTGGAGAATTAAGGAGAATGGGAAAGAGGACGTAGAGGAGACAGGGGAAGATGGGAGGTGGAAGGGAGGGGGAGGAGAGTGGAGAATTAAGGAGAATGGGAAAGAGGACGTAGAGGAGACAGGGGAAGATGGGAGGTGGAAGGGAGGGGGAGGAGAGTGGAGAATTAAGGAGAATGGGAAAGAGGACGTAGAGGAGACAGGGGAAGATGGGAGGTGGAAGGGAGGGGGAGGAGAGTGGAGAATTAAGGAGAATGGGAAAGAGGACGTAGAGGAGACAGGGGAAGATGGGAGGTGGAAGGGAGGGGGAGGAGAGTGGAGAATTAAGGAGAATGGGAAAGAGGACGTAGAGGAGACAGGGGAAGATGGGAGGTGGAAGGGAGGGGGAGGAGAGTGGAGAATTAAGGAGAATGGGAAAGAGGACGTAGAGGAGACAGGGGAAGATGGGAGGTGGAAGGGAGGGGGAGGAGAGTGGAGAATTAAGGAGAATGGGAAAGAGGACGTAGAGGAGACAGGGGAAGATGGGAGGTGGAAGGGAGGGGGAGGAGAGTGGAGAATTAAGGAGAATGGGAAAGAGGACGTAGAGGAGACAGGGGAAGATGGGAGGTGGAAGGGAGGGGGAGGAGAGTGGAGAATTAAGGAGAATGGGAAAGAGGACGTAGAGGAGACAGGGGAAGATGGGAGGTGGAAGGGAGGGGGAGGAGAGTGGAGAATTAAGGAGAATGGGAAAGAGGACGTAGAGGAGACAGGGGAAGATGGGAGGTGGAAGGGAGGGGGAGGAGAGTGGAGAATTAAGGAGAATGGGAAAGAGGACGTAGAGGAGACAGGGGAAGATGGGAGGTGGAAGGGAGGGGGAGGAGAGTGGAGAATTAAGGAGAATGGGAAAGAGGACGTAGAGGAGACAGGGGAAGATGGGAGGTGGAAGGGAGGGGGAGGAGAGTGGAGAATTAAGGAGAATGGGAAAGAGGACGTAGAGGAGACAGGGGAAGATGGGAGGTGGAAGGGAGGGGGAGGAGAGTGGAGAATTAAGGAGAATGGGAAAGAGGACGTAGAGGAGACAGGGGAAGATGGGAGGTGGAAGGGAGGGGGAGGAGAGTGGAGAATTAAGGAGAATGGGAAAGAGGACGTAGAGGAGACAGGGGAAGATGGGAGGTGGAAGGGAGGGGGAGGAGAGTGGAGAATTAAGGAGAATGGGAAAGAGGACGTAGAGGAGACAGGGGAAGATGGGAGGTGGAAGGGAGGGGGAGGAGAGTGGAGAATTAAGGAGAATGGGAAAGAGGACGTAGAGGAGACAGGGGAAGATGGGAGGTGGAAGGGAGGGGGAGGAGAGTGGAGAATTAAGGAGAATGGGAAAGAGGACGTAGAGGAGACAGGGGAAGATGGGAGGTGGAAGGGAGGGGGAGGAGAGTGGAGAATTAAGGAGAATGGGAAAGAGGACGTAGAGGAGACAGGGGAAGATGGGAGGTGGAAGGGAGGGGGAGGAGAGTGGAGAATTAAGGAGAATGGGAAAGAGGACGTAGAGGAGACAGGGGAAGATGGGAGGTGGAAGGGAGGGGGAGGGGGGAGGGGAAGTGGGGGGAGGGGAAGTGGGGGGAGGGGAAGTGGGGGGAGGGGAAGTGGAGTGGAGTGGCAGTGGGGGAATCGGGAAGGGGAAGGGAGGGGGAGGAGAGTGGAGAATTAAGGAGAATGGGAAAGAGGACGTAGAGGAGACAGGGGAAGATGGGAGGTGGAAGGGAGGGGGAGGAGAGTGGAGAATTAAGGAGAATGGGAAAGAGGACGTAGAGGAGACAGGGGAAGATGGGAGGTGGAAGGGAGGGGGAGGAGAGTGGAGAATTAAGGAGAATGGGAAAGAGGACGTAGAGGAGACAGGGGAAGATGGGAGGTGGAAGGGAGGGGGAGGAGAGTGGAGAATTAAGGAGAATGGGAAAGAGGACGTAGAGGAGACAGGGGAAGATGGGAGGTGGAAGGGAGGGGGAGGAGAGTGGAGAATTAAGGAGAATGGGAAAGAGGACGTAGAGGAGACAGGGGAAGATGGGAGGTGGAAGGGAGGGGGAGGAGAGTGGAGAATTAAGGAGAATGGGAAAGAGGACGTAGAGGAGACAGGGGAAGATGGGAGGTGGAAGGGAGGGGGAGGAGAGTGGAGAATTAAGGAGAATGGGAAAGAGGACGTAGAGGAGACAGGGGAAGATGGGAGGTGGAAGGGAGGGGGAGGAGAGTGGAGAATTAAGGAGAATGGGAAAGAGGACGTAGAGGAGACAGGGGAAGATGGGAGGTGGAAGGGAGGGGGAGGAGAGTGGAGAATTAAGGAGAATGGGAAAGAGGACGTAGAGGAGACAGGGGAAGATGGGAGGTGGAAGGGAGGGGGAGGAGAGTGGAGAATTAAGGAGAATGGGAAAGAGGACGTAGAGGAGACAGGGGAAGATGGGAGGTGGAAGGGAGGGGGAGGAGAGTGGAGAATTAAGGAGAATGGGAAAGAGGACGTAGAGGAGACAGGGGAAGATGGGAGGTGGAAGGGAGGGGGAGGAGAGTGGAGAATTAAGGAGAATGGGAAAGAGGACGTAGAGGAGACAGGGGAAGATGGGAGGTGGAAGGGAGGGGGAGGAGAGTGGAGAATTAAGGAGAATGGGAAAGAGGACGTAGAGGAGACAGGGGAAGATGGGAGGTGGAAGGGAGGGGGAGGAGAGTGGAGAATTAAGGAGAATGGGAAAGAGGACGTAGAGGAGACAAGCCGGTTCCCCGCGAGACAACCTTGGGCCGAAAGTGCTCGCCTCCGACGGCCGCGTGCGCCCGCGGGAAACCTGCTGGCGGGGGACAGGTGGGGTGGGGTGGGGGAGGGAGATCAGAAGGGGGGGTCGCAAATAGGTATGCATGCACACGGACACGCAGACAGAAAGACAGACACACAAAACATATACATACAGAGACAGATATACATATGGACATATACAAGACAGACAAGACAACGCGCGTGCGCGCACAACCACACACACACACACACGCACAACGTAGATACAAAAAGACAAACACACACATTCATCTTATATAAAGATTTTATACATATTCTTTGTCAATTTTGTCTGTGTATTCTGTATCCTTAATGTAACGTTAACTGGTTAAGTTTTTATATTTTTGCGTTTATTGTATGTTGGTCTAGATTTTGGATGCATGAAAACATATTAAGATTCAGTATTTTTCGTTTATATATTGTAAAGATTTTGTATTTCTCACATTCTGTACATTTTGTTTGCATTTTCCATACAAATTGTACAAATAGTTAATTTAAAGCGTCCCAAATGCAGATATTTACCCGTTTTAACGAAATACAAAAAGAAAATACACCTAAAAAATAAACAGCAAATAAAAACAAAGGTATATAAAATAATAATAAGCGAAAATAATGCAAGCAAGCACGAACGCGCAGTAGGGACATTGACGCAATCCCGCATTCCGAAAATTTCTCGCTCGCTAATATCACGTGAGTTAAAAGTCGAGGTGCTCGGGATATCAATTTTTTTTCTCTTCTACTCCCCTCCCCCCCTTTCCTCCCACCTACACACTTCTGCAACAATGCCTGAGCGAGGTTGGGCAACAAGGGGATTCCCCTCCCCTCCCCTCCCCTCCTGACTCCCCCCCCCCTCTCTCTCTCTGCAGCAAAGGAAAAACTTGCTCAAGCTGTTAGGTTGGGATTCACAAGAAGCGGTGAATGACGTATGCAAAATATGTAGGCCGTAAATAAAACTGCGCACACACGCTCTCACATATATGCACACACATACGCGTGCTTACACTCTCTCTCTCTCTCTCTCTCACTCTCTCTCTCACTCACTCACTCTCTCTCTCTCACACACACACACACACACACACACACACGAAAAACACTAATATCTCTCTCTCTCAAATTACTCTCCGACCTTGTATTTAATACTTTAATACGTAGATAATATACTTACCCTTTGTGTCTCATTCGCACTCTTTTGCTCTCCTTTTCTCTTACTCTTTCTCTGTTTACCCCCGATGTACTCATACCTGGAGAAAAAGATAAATAAAGTAATTAAACACGGAGGTTAAATGAGCAGTCAATCAAATCAAATCAAATCATTGCAATAACGGAAGGAAATAACTGAACAGAAATAATAGGAAGACAAACAAACAAACAAATAAAACATCACCTGTTGAAATACAAAAATACTATAAAAAGGGAAGGTAACTGTTTGGAATGCTACGCTGATCAACCCAATGTTCATTCCGTTTCATGAATGAATGAACTGCCAAAAAGGGATGACTAACGACTGACAAATCAATATTGTAAGGATGATAATGATCATAGCAATAAAAATAACAATAACAACAACCATAATAATAATGCTAATATCATTATCAATAACAATAAAGTCATAATGAAAATTATAATGATAATCATAATCATAATAATAGTTTAACAATAATAACAATGATAATAATAATAATAATAAAAACAATAACAATAACAATAATAATAATAATAATAATAATAATAACAATAATAATAACAATAATAATTATAACAACAACAACAATAATAATAACAACAACGACATTAACAACGATACCGAGAAAATAAATAACGACCAAAAAAAAATGCAAATCTCGGAGGCTTCCCAGAGAGCCAACATCACGTGACATTTTCTTTTCAATCATTTTTTTCCCCCGACGAACGTTCGAGGGATGTGCGTGAGGGCATTTGGCACTCACTCTGGCACCGCTTAGCCCTTGTGCCTTGTGGCTCTTAGATAAAACAGGCTAGCGGTGCGATTTTACTCAAGGGAAATGTATATCTGTGTCTTGTGATGATGAGGAGGAGGGAGGAGGTGGAGGAGAGGAAAGTGAAGGAAGGAGGGAGAGAGGAAGAAGGATGGAAGGAGGAAGAAGGAGGGAGGGAGGTGCAGGAGGTTGGAGGAGGAAGGGAGGGAGGGAGGGAAGAGCAAGGGGGTGGGGGTGGAGGGAGGAGGAAGGGAGGGAGGAGGGAAGACGAAGAGGAAAAGGACAGAGAAAGAGGACGGAGAGGAGGAGGAATGAGAGGAGAAAAAGGAGGAGGAGGAGGGGGGGGGTGAGGGGAGGAGGAAGGGAGGGGGAGTGAGGGGAGGGGGGAGTGAGTGAGGGAAGAAGGGAGGAGGAGAAAGAGTTGGGGAAAGAGGAGGAGGAAGATAAAGAAGAAGGTAGAGAGGAACGTTGAGAGGAAGGGAAATAGGAGGAGAAAAGCGGGAAGGGGGATGGGGAAACGAAGAAGGAAAACAAGGAAGAAAAAAAACAATCATGACAACCAAAAACAACCCTAACAAACAAACAAAAACAAAAACAAAAACAACAATCCAACCTCGCATACAGCCATGGGCCACAACCCTTACCCGTAACTTTCCCGTACCGTACTTTATCCATAAGTCTCTGCGTAAATAATCTATTTCTCCCTCGCTTTTTCTCGCCCGTTTTTTTTTTTTTTTCTTTTCTTTTCTTTCAGACACGCCGCCAAACACAGACATGTCTCTGGCCAACATGGTGACAACCTGGTCGCACCTAAGAACATACAAACAAACAAACACACGCACACGCAAGAGGGGGAGGGGGAGGGGGAAGGAGGCAGGAAGGGGGGGGAAAGGGGAGGGGGGGAGAGAGGAAGGAAGAGAAGGGGAGGGAGGGAAAGAGGGAGGAGGAGAGAAGAAAAAGGAAGGAATGTTGAGGGAGAAAGGGTGTGGTGGGAAAATGAGTTAGAGAGAAAGAGAAAGGTGGAGAAAAAAGAGAAAGAAAAAAAAGAAAGAATGAAAGAAAGGAGAAAGAAAGAGATAAGAAGGAGGGAGAGAGAGAAAGCCAGCCAGCCACGTGGTACCAACCGGGGAAAGCTATCTTTATACCAATGCGTTGCGTAACCTCGTTGTTTAAGGCTTAAGAAAATACAAAAAAAAAGATTATTTTTTTTGTTCCGTCTTCCTGGCGGATACAAAGGGTATGGGGGGGTGAGGGGAGGTAGGAGGAGGGGAATGAATGGGGAGAGGGGTGGAGGGGAATGAATGGGGGAGGAAGGAGGAGAGGAAAGAGGGAGGAGAGAGGGAGGATAGAGGGACGAGGGGTTGAGGAAAGGGGGAGGGGGGAGGAGAGAAAGGAGGGGGGAGGGGGGAGAGAAAGGAGGGGGGAGGGGGGGAGAGAAAGGAGGGGGGAGGGGGGGAGAGAAAGGAGGGGGGGGGAGGAGAGGAAGGAGGGCATGAGGGGAGAGATGGAAAGAGGGAGAGAGAAGAGGAGGGGAGGAGAGGAGAGGGAAGGGGGAGGAGAGGAGAGGGAGGGGGTGGTGAGAGGGAAATTGGATGGAGAGGGGGGGGAGGAGATGAAGGAGGAGAGGAGGAATGAAGCAGCACAGAGCAGAAAGGGAGGATGGGATGGGGGATAGGGAGGAGGAGAGGAAGGGAAGAGGAAACAGGGGAAGGATAAGAAATGGAAGAGAAGAAAAAATGAGACATAGGAAGGGTGGGGGTGGAATGTGAGGGAGTAAGAGGGATGGAGGGAACATAGAAAGGAAAGGAGAGAGGGAAGACATGAATGAAGTAAGTTAAGGAGGAGGTAAAGGAAGGGAGAAGAGGGGAGGAGAAAAGTAAAGGGGGAAAGGGAGAGAAAAAGATAAAGAAAGGAGAGGAAGAGAGAGCGAGAAAGATAAAGAGGGGAAGGAAGAGAGAAAGAGAGAGGGAAAGATAAAGAGGGGGGAGGAGGGGAGATATGAGCGATGCAACGGGTGTGAAACAGGGTTGAAGAAAAGTGGTAGGAGGAGAAGGGGGGATAAGGAAGAAGGGGTGGATACGGAGTAAAAGAGGATAGGGGGAAGAGGAGTAGGAAGGGAGAAGGGAAGGAAGAGAGAAGGGGAGAGGAGGAGGATCTTTAGGCGAAGATAGAGACAAGAGGAAGATGGGGAGAAGAGAAAGGGAAAATGGAGTAGGGGAGAAGAGGAGAAGGAGAGGGAGAGAGAAGAGGGAGAGAGAAGAAGAGGGAGAGAGAAGAGGGGAGAGGGTAAGGTCACACCACCCCACCACGCCCACACGTAAACGCACTTTAACCTTTACAGTTATCGCATTTCCACCATTAAGTTTTATAACGGTATGGGTCGCTTATGTACAAGATGTGTGTTTGTTATCAAGTGAGCGAAAACGAGAATGAAAGAGTAAATGAGTGAATAGAAGAGTGAATGAGAGACTGGAATAGTGAATGAAAGAGAAAGTGAGCGGCTGTATGAGCTCATGAAATGGAATGAACGAACGAATAAAAATTATTAAATGCGCGAATGAAATGGAATGAAAGTGAATGAATGAATGTGTTGGGGTGGAGGGGTGCTTGCAAGCTTGATGACAGCTATTCCGCTTTATAAAAGCCTGATGCAACCCAAACAACGAACATACAAACCATTCCTGGATTAACCCATATATATCCTCCACTGAATTCCGCGAGAAAAAAAAATAAATAAAAAAAATAAAGTGACCACAGAGAGAAGAAAAATACTCATAATTCACGTAGTCTTTCTCAAATCTTAAAAAGAAAGAAATCACAATTCACTTATTAAAAATCCGAATCGGCAACCCAACCCCCACCCCCACGCAGCCTCACCTTATGGCAACAAACGTCATAGCAACACATATGGCAAAAAAACAAAACAAAACAGTTACAGACACTGCACGCTCAGGGGATTCTACTACTCTAACCAGGAAGTGAGTAAACGAATGAGTGAGTGCGTGCGATGGTACGCGAGTGAGAGTGAGGGTGTGTGAGTGAGTGAGTGAGTGAGTGAGTGAGTGAGTGAGGAGTGAGTGGGCGAGTGAGAGTGAGTGAGTGAGTGGGCGAGTGAGAGTGAGTGAGTGAGTGGATTCATATCAGGGTGTACGTAAAAAGCCAGCAAACCAGATAAACAGACAGACAGGAAGGCAGGCAGACGCAATCAGATACAAGACACGCTACGACTCCTTTCCTGCCCCTTATATTCTCTCTCCTTCTCCTTCCCCTCCTCGTCATCTATCTGAATCACAAGCTAACACCACCAAGATTATATAATAAAATGCGTAAGAATTTTTTTTTTCTGGAGCGCTGAATTTATACTAGCACAGTGTTCCATCATTATCATCATCATCATCATTATTATTATTATTATTGTCATCATCATCAACCCAATTATCATCATTACCATCATCATTATTATCATCATCATCATCAAGCCTATTATCATCATTACCATTATCATTATTACGATCATCATTATCATTACTACTACTACTTCGACACTGATGAACTTCCCACTTCATTAACAACCCACTTAATGAACCCCCACAGGACCCAACTACTCTTAACCTTTTACCTTAAAGTCCTCCCTTTCAGTACGTTAAAGTACATGGTTAGTTACATAGCTCCATCCCTGCCCTTAGTACCTGTATCTATCCCTGAGTGTTAAATACATAGCCCTATCCATGCCCTTAAGACCTGTATCTATTCCTGTATGTTAGTTATAGACCTCAATCGCTGCACTTAGTACCTATATCTCTCCCTGAGTGTTAGATATAAAGCTCTGTTCCTGCACTGACGATTACGTGGTCTGTAGCACAATGGTGTGAATACTGTACGCTAATTCAGGAGATTCTTTTATCAAGACGATATGATCACAATGTACAGCGGAAACGGTTATAATGAAAGATCTTAATCACAGCCCACCATTCTGTCTTTCCACTTGAGTATGCGGGCGCCTGTGTATTTGTATACATGTGCGTAGTAGTGTTGTGGGTATAAGTGTATCACTGTATATGATATGTGTATATACATGCATGGATATAATGTATACATATACATATATCTTCCCTGTCCCCCAAATATGAATAGGATTTGTACCGTAGCCTCGAGCAGAGCAGCGCATGCAGATAAAAATATCAATAGACAAAATTCCGCTAAAAGCACTCCGCGCACCGTTAGGATATAAATCAAATTATCCGGAAAATTGGCCGAGTAAAAGCTATACAGTGTAAACTTTATTATTTTTCTATCCATGTGAAGTTGCATTTTCCACCACGAGTGCCACTTTCAAAAATGCGATTATCCGAAAAAAAAACAGACGCTGGTCGGTTAATCTGAAAAAAAAGAAAACAAAAAACGTACGCAAGTAGAAATGTGAATACGGTTTAAGCGGAGTCACCCAAATGTAAATAAATAACCTCTGCTGTTTTTTTCTTCTACCTGTTCACGTTGGCTACAATGGACAAATAAACAAAAGAAGGACAGCTTTGCAAACACACAAGTAAAGGTTAAGGGGAGGTGGGGAGGGAGGAGGGAGGGAAAGCGGGAGAGTAAGAAAAAGAGAGAGGGAGAGTAAGAAAGAGAGAGAGGGAGAGTAAGAAAGAGAGAGAGGGAGAGTAAGAAAGAGAGAGAGGGAGAGTAAGAAAGAGAGAGAGGGAGAGTAAGAAAGAGAGAGAGGGAGAGTAAGAGAGAGAGAGAGGGAGAGTAAGAGAGAGAGAGAGGGAGAGTAAGAGAGAGAGAGAGAGGGAGAGTAAGAGAGAGAGAGAGAGGGAGAGTAAGAGAGAGAGAGAGAGGGAGAGTAAGAGAGAGAGAGAGAGGGAGAGTAAGAGAGAGAGAGAGGGAGAGTAAGAGAGAGAGAGAGAGGGAGAGTAAGAGAGAGAGAGAGAGGGAGAGTAAGAGAGAGAGAGAGGGAGAGTAAGAGAGAGAGAGAGAGGGAGAGTAAGAGAGAGAGAGAGAGGGAGAGTAAGAGAGAGAGAGAGAGGGAGAGTAAGAGAGAGAGAGGGAGAGTAAGAGAGAGAGAGAGAGAGGGAGAGTAAGAGAGAGAGAGAGAGGGAGAGTAAGAGAGAGAGAAAGAGGGAGAGTAAGAGAGAGAGAAAGAGGGAGAGTAATAGAGAGAGAGAGGGAGAGTAAGAGAGAGAGAGAGGGAGAGTAAGAGAGAGAGAGAGGGAGAGAAAGAGAGATGGAGGGAGAAAAAAAAAATCAATAGAACAGAGTACAATGAAAAGGCAAAAACAGCTCCTGAAACAAAGATGATTGCATTCGTCTCAACGTGCAATATCATGCAACCCTTCGAGTTCGAAATCAATTGCAAGGAAGTACCGGTCCTTCTATTTAGGGGAAGAGGTGATAGGGAACGACATCATGTGCAACAACGACAGCAACAGCAACGTAAACATAAAACCCGGAAAATTTGGGCAAAAACAAAAACAAAAAAACAAAAAAAAAAGATACAAAAATAATAGACCAAAAAATAAATAATGTCAAAACTGGCGGGAGTGACGAGTTTACAATATTGAACGGTTGAGAAAACAGGTATAGCATCAGAAGAAAGTAGACAGAAAAAAAAGAAAAAGAAAAGGAGAGAGGAGAGAAAATAAACAAAGGAAAGGAAAAGAGAGAATGTGAGAAGAGTAAAGAGGAGGAAAAGAGGAGGAAGAAAACCGGCAATGAAAGACTGAGCGAAATGTAAAGGCAATGTGGGTTGCACTACTTGAAGCGACCCGAGGGGGGGAGGGGGTCATGTCGGGAGGGGGGGAGGGGTAATGGCAAGGCAATGGGGGGGGGGGGAAAGGGGTGGTTGCGTTCCCTACGACCTTTCGATCGGCAGTACTCTCTTCCCCCCCCCCCACTACCACCACCTCCCCAACTTCCTGTTCCCTTTTTTTCCAACCGGTACTCTCCCTCGCCCCCGTTCTTGCCCTCTCCCTTCTATCTACCTTTCGCTTGCATCCTCCTCTTCCTCGATCAATGCTCCTCCTCCTCCTCCTCCTCCGTCTATACCTTTTCTTCTTCTCATCATTCTTTTCCTCTTCTCCTTTTTTATCATAATCCTTTTTCTTCTTCCTCTCCATTTCCCCTTTTTTTCTGACTATTCTTCCCCTTTCTCTTCCCTCAATATTCTTTCACTTTTGCTTCTTATGCCACGCTTTTGCACGCACTCCCGCACTGCCATTACGCCTCAGTTCTTGCATGTGCCTGTGTACTTGTTCTTGTACTTGCGCTTGCGACTAATTATGCTTGTACTTGGATATGAGAGAGAGAGAAAATGAGAGAGGGAGAGGGAGAGGGAGAGAGAGAGGGAGAGGGAGAGAGGGAGAGAGAGGGAGAGAGAGGGAGAGAGAGAGAGAGAGAGAGAGAGAGAAAGAGAGAGAGAAAGGAAACCGTGTCGAAAAGCGCAGGATTTACCAATTCACATCTAAAATTAGAACGAGAATAAATCATAAATCAGAAACACGAACGAAACAAACAAACTGATACAAATAAAATCCGTATCGCATTCATAAATAAACACACACCTAAAAAAAATCGTACGATTATTAATACATGAAGTTCAACGAGAGGGAGAGCGAAGGAAGGAGGGAGGGAAGGGAAGAAGGGAGGGAGGGAGGGAGGGAGGGAGGGAGGGAGGGAGGGAGGGAAGGAGGAAGAGGGAGGGAGGGTGGAAAGGTGGGAAGGAGGGAGGGAGGGAAAGTGGAAAGAAGGAAGGGGAGGAATGGAGGGAGGGAAGGTGGGAGGGAGGGAGGATAAGACGCGCGCGGACCTCTCTGATCACGTGTTACTCTTGGTTACCAGTTCCGTTATCCCCGTCACACGCGCCCCGTCACGTTCCAAAGGCGGGCGTGACAGGCTGTCATATCAGGTCGCTTATTTAAGGGTTTGCGCTGCCATTTTTAGTGCCGTCTACGTTACTTGTTACTTGTTCTGGCGTTGCTGTTCGATCTCTCCCTAGCGGCTGTTCCTTTTGCCTCCCCCTTTTACGTGAGTTTGTTCTTAAACATGGATAGTATAAAATGTTCGTGTTTTCTTTTTTTGTTTGTTTTTCTACGTACGGATAATAAATAGTTCTTGTAATTTAACTATACACAAACATATATACATACATATATACACAAACATATATACATACATATATACACAAACATATATACATACATATATACACAAACATATATACATACATATATACACAAACATATATACATACATATATACACAAACATATATACATACATATATACACAAACATATATACATACATATATACACAAACATATATACATACATATATACACAAACATATATACATACATATATACACAAACATATATACATACATATATACACACATATACATACATATATACACACATATACATACATATATACACACATATACATACATATATACACATATACATACATATATACACATAAGTGTGTGTGGGGGGGGGAGGGAGGGGGAGAAGGGGAGAGAGAAGGAGAAGGAGAGGGAGAGGGAGAGGGAGAAGGGGGGAGGGAGAGGGGGAGGGAGAGGGAGAAGGGGGAGGGAGGCGAAGGATAGGGAGAAGGGAAAGAGGGAAGAAGGGAAGAAGGGAGGGAGGGAGGGAGGGAGGGAAGGAGGGAAGGAGGGAAGGGTGGGAAGGAGGAAGAGGAGGGACGGTTGAAAGGAGGAAGGTAGGAAGGGAGGAAGAAGGAATGGAGGGAGGAAGGAAGGAATGGAGGAGGAGGAGGAGGGAGGAGGAAGGTGGAGGGAGGGAGGGAAGTGGGAGGAGGGAGGAGGAGGGGGGAGAGAGGAGGGGAGAGAGGGAGGAGAGAGGGGAGGGAGAGAGGGAGGGAGAGAGGGAGGGAAGGTGGGAGGGAGGGAGGATAAGACGCGCGCGGACCTCTCTGATCACGTGTTACTCTTGGTTACCAGTTCCGTTATCCCCGTCACACACGCCCCGTCACGTTCCAAAGGCGGGCGTGACAGGCTGTCATATCAGGTCGCTTATTTAAGGGTTTGCGCTGCCATTTTTAGTGCCGTCTACGTTACTTGTTACTTGTTCTGGCGTTGCTGTTCGATCTCTCCCTAGCGGCTGTTCCTTTTACCTCCCCCTTTTACTTGAGTTTGTTCTTAAACATGGATAATATAAAATGTTCGTGTTTTCTTTTTTTT